GATGGAAGTCTTCGTGGTATACCAGGTAAAATCACCGTTTGTGACTAATGGTAGGTGATATGGGTGAGAGGAATTTTGAGATGAATACCGTATTTAGTGGTTTAGGGGTAGGATGTAATCAAAATTATATATTTTGCTATAAACATTAAAAGGTATCTATAGAATACAATATTTTTAAATGATATTTATTTAAAATAAATAAAGTGTTAACCTTTGGCATGAGAGGTAAAAATTCCTACAAGAAATCCTTAAGAGTTACCTAATCCCCAATGCATAGAGTTAAGATCAGAAGCAAAAAATTGGAAAGCTGATGAAACGACTGGAATATAAGTAACTTGGGGAACCGTGGAGGCAGGGCGTGCTAAAGTATCCTCTTCTTTACTTCCATTCGGGTTCTCAAGCTATTATTTATTGTTTTAGGGTCGTTTGGTACGAGATATAAGAAGGTATAGGGGTGATATAAAAATTTAATACCATCTTAATACTTTATTTGGTTAGTAAATCAAATATAAGTTATCCTGGTGTTAATTTTAATACCGGAATAACTTATACCTTATAGAGGATGGGATAATTAGCACCGATATAACTTATATCTTCTTCTTAAAAATTATATAATTGTCATTCTTAATATAACATACCAAACAGTGAATAAACAATAATCCCAACATAATTAATCTCATCATGACTTATTCCAACATAACTTATACCGGCATAAGCCCTATTCCAACCAAACCACCCCTTAGGAGTTGTCTTGTACTCCTTCGAGAGATGAAATTCCCAAGAAAATTCAAACATATATCACCATTACCTCAGTCTTATCAATCGCCTTCGACATATTTGTTATCTCCGGATATATCTTAGAGAAAAGTATTTAACCGGATCATCGTAGAAACCTTTTCATCACCATCTACCATCATAATAGTGATATTCCCTTTAGATTCACACGAGGAAAATACAAACTTAATCGGGAGATTGACTCCCTCTTATGATTAGTGTTAGAACTTTTTATGGACTTGCACATGTATGGTATTAAGAATAATTGTATGTTGGCTGTTATTATTAAAAAGTTGATCCAAATTAAAAGTGATCTACTAAGGTTTAAAGTTAAATGGGTCTACGAGACACCTCCTAATGTATGAGGTTTAATGTGTAGATACCGGATGTAATTTCTAACTTAATGATGAACTAAATTAGAATTCCGTAAATTGTGTGCATCTATAAATACGGTTATGGCCCCCAAATCAGGTTCTTTTCTAATATCTCATCGGGGGAGAGCCGTCTTCTGTGCAATTTCTACGTCTTGCAGTGATTATGGATTCAGGTACGCTTCCGCACAGTGGCGGATCCAGGATTTTAAACTCGTGGGTGCTTACTGATAAAAATTCTAAAAGAAAAGGAAAAAAGAGTTTAGTTATGGGTGCTCACTCAATATTTATCTAAATATTTTTATAATTACCTAAGGATGTCTAACGGGCCGGGTCAACCCGTTTCCGGACCGTCCCAGACCGGTTGAAACCGGAACCTACCTGGACCGGTACAAAGCGGGCCGGGTGGGCTGGGTTAATGGGGTAAGGGGGTTGGTCCATTCATCTTCGTTCAACTAGTTAACCGGACCGGTCAAACCTGGTTAACGAGATTCACTGTAGAACCGGTTAACCGGCTTGGCCTGAACCGGTCCAGACTGGTTAACGGCTAGTTGTTTCAATTTTTTTTTAATGATTGTTACATTTGAATTTACTCTTTTTTTCACTAATTTACTTATTAAATGTAAACCTTTCAATTTATAAATTTGAATTTTGAAATAAATGTAGCACTTGCAATTTATAAGTGTAATTTTTTCCCCATCTTCATTGTATTCTTTATATTTTTATTTTATATTAATATAAATTACAATAGTTATACAAAATACAAAAAACAAATATACTAACCCAGCCCGGCCCGACCGCTTGGACCCGTAACCCTGACGGTTCATTTTTCACCCGGATGGATCCGGACCCGTTAAGCCCGGTAAACCCTAACCCGTAACCGGTCCGGTTAGACACCAGGATGATTTAGATTTTTCCCTACCCGGCCCGGCCCGGCCCACCCGTTTAACACCATTATAATTACCTATACAAATTTATTAAATTTTGTCAAAGATAATGGGTGCTTGAGCACCCAAAATTAACATGTACGACATCTAATTTTACGTCGTTGATGATTTGACATGATAGGTCTTTAATAAGAGATATTTTAAAATATTTTGGTTCTAACAATTACTAGTACTTACCTCTCCCCTTCTCTGCCTTTGCCTTTTCTCAGAAGAATCAGCTGCGAGAGGTCTCATCGGTTATGAATTCCCACTTTACGGAAGAACTCTATCAGCGTCATATTGCTGCACTCTCCGGGTCGACAACACAAATACAGAACGTTTTCTTCGGGTGGTCGGACTCAAGGCACCCCTTAAGCGGCAACCCCGAGATATCCGCGACCCGCCATTAAATACGATCGGCTGCAACTCTTATATTATAACGTGTTGGAGAAAATATATATAAGAAGCAGTTACAATTAGATAATTAGCCTATAAATGCAATCCCGTCTCCCATTATTGTAACACAGAGAAATACACATAAATACTATAGCAAGACGCTGGCAGAATGATTGTGTTCATCTCTCCATTATCAATAGGCTTGAATTCGTCAATTAGAATCACTTTACTTTTCCTCTTTACTGTTATTCAAGTGCATTTGTTTATTTTACTGTCTGTTTCTCTTTATTCCAATTTCATCTACATCAAACAAAGTATTAGGTGGCTTTGCTTTAATCTCATTGCTTGCGGCATAATTTCATAAATTTAATTGGTTAGCCTATCAAACGAATTGTAGGTTGAACACATTTTTCTTTTCTTTATGTCTTTATCTAATCCTTTGATAATTTCCTTTTACGTGTAGTAAATACACTGTATGGATAAATTACAATTAAGTTTAATTTATATAGAGAGCGTAAGAAAATTTTACACTACTAGTGCTTTCGAGAAAAAAAATATTGATGTAGCTGAAAAATCATCTTATTTTTCAGATTGTATATTTCACTTTATGTAGCCATTTGTACATATAATTATTTTATACACAAAATTACTTTTATACTATCCATGCTTAAAGTTCAGTTCATTACAAATATGTTATTATTAGCCAAGCCTCAAATATGATATGTTTAGATGAGTTTTAATTTATGCATTGACAATATAAAGTTATTTATACAGTCGAACCATATATCACATAATTAGAGTTTTTAGTCAAAATTATCCCTTATTTATTGAGATAGGTCTTTTTCGTCCTTATATACCCCTGAGTATCTTTCGTCCCTTAAGTTTGTTAAAGTGGAGCTCCTTTAGTCTAGCTAATAAAATGGGGTTAACTTGAAATCAAAACTAACGCTTGTGTAAAACCTTTTCCTACGTTCTCTATTAGTCATGATCCCTCACGAATCTAAGCCTTTTCTTGAAAAGATTTAATGTGAGTTTATAGGTAAAAAAAAAAGTCAATTTCGTAAATCAAAAGGTGTGAAACAGAAAGAAAACAAAGCCTAAGCTAGTGAGCCACAATGGGTGAAACTGAAAGGCGTTTCTGTTTCAACTTTCCTTTCTCTGTTTTTGTGTGGTTCTTTGCTTATATTTTATGGAACTTTGAAGGAGAAAGACAGAGGATATAATGCAAATTTTTGTGTAGTTTGAGGTTTCAGAGAGTTTACAGTTTGCTTCTTTATTTGTCTTCTTGGAAATAGTTCTTTTCCCAATAATTATTTTTTTGTTTTGTGAAAACTTAGTCAACCCGTTTACTGCTCGTTGGAGAAAGAAAAGAAGATGGGTTAATTAGAAATATCTGCAGCATCTGATTTGAATGCGTGAATAGATAAAATTTAAATAATGAAGGATGAATACGATGAAGAACATTCAGATTTTCAAAGTCAGATCATAAAGAAATTCAAAGAAATAGTAAAATAAGGATATAACACACAGAGCAGTGATGAATTGGCACGGCTCTTGAGCCTCTGAAGGCAGGCTGCAGAAGAATCCCAATGGACAAGCTTCTTTTTTCTCCTTTGTTTCCAAAAGAGAGAAACTCAAGTGAAAAAGGTTTTGTGCTGGTCTTTGTACATGAGATACACAGGCAGGGCCGAATTAAGGGCGGCGAAAGGGTGTTCGTCCGAACCCCCTTCACGCAAAATCTATTTTTTATCTTTATATATTTTGTTTTCAATCACCTTAACACAACACATAGGTTAGTGGTCAAGGGGGTTCAAAATTTTTGTAAGGTCATTGGTTCTATTCCCACTAACTACAATCTTTATAACTTTTTCCTTTTTTTTGAACCCCTTGACGGTAATCCTGCATCCGCCACTATACACAGCCGTTAGTTTTAACCCCAAGTTAGCCCCATTTTGTTAGCTAGACCAAAAGTGCTCCAATTTAACAAACTTAAGGGACTAAAGATGCTCAAAGGTATATATATAAAAGACGAAAATAGACCTATCCCATATATAAGGACAATATGGTTAAAAACTCAAAAGTAGTTACATGTAAATCTCAATTACAAATATTACTAGGTAACATGATACTCTCAAAATCTTCACATATTCAGTGTTAAATTTTAATTCTAAGATGTATGAATTTAACATAACAAAGGATAGACACTGCGGATGAAATTAAATATCCGCTTAAATGAACAACAACAACATACCCAGTCTTATCCGCTTAAATGAACTGATCATTTAATATCAACTAACAACTAGACTCTCCTCCTATCTCAGTTTATATCAACTACTTCGCGAAATTCACATAAACAGTATAGAAATTGATAAATTAGTGCCCCAAATTACTAGTATATGAATATCTGAAACCATATAAAAAAATGTTCCACCACCATTGATCTGATACAGATAAAGAATATCTGATCATCTCCACGTGATATGAAGATCAACACATAAACAATAAAAGTATCAATACCTTGGAGAAAAACGAATCAAAATCAATAACAAGGAACTTATCGAAAGAGAGAAAAGATTCATCCACCCTTAATTGAACTAAGCTGGTTGATACTATAACTCTATTGTATGCAAAAACATTACTGTGTATTGATCAGCATCTTAACGACAAATATAGGAGGGCTATCATTTTGCAAAATAGGTCTCTTATCCAGCAATGAGGACCGCAACCAAAATGTAAAAGAATATAAATAAAATAGCTGCAAAGGATTAATACTACATTTTTGTGCCTCCGCCATCCGACATGAGAGATGCAGCTGCTGCAGCTGCAGTAGGAACAACCCCTGTTGACACACCGGGTTTTGACAAATGGAGGAGCCTGAAAAAAAAATAGAAACCATTTGTATGTCAACCAAATGATAGAAATAAGTAAATAAACTAGTTTCTCCTAACAATATATACCAAAGGCAAATCCAAGATTTAAATTGGTTGGGTTCAACCTTTAGGTTCTGACCCCATTATACTTTTGAAATTATGTGTTCAGATATTTGTTAAAAAGGCGATTATATATATATATATATATATATATATATATATATGTATGTATGTATGTATATATGTATGTATATGTATACTTATACTAATTCAGTTCAACCCATTATTTAAACACTCCATTCACCTCAGGGTAACAAACCAATATAAAGGTACTTACGGTGCAAGATATTCACAGAAGGACGATACAGCAGCAACAACTTCAGTGTAATTTTCAGATGAAGCAGGTGCTGTCACTTCAACTAGCTGTATGCCCGGTGTCACAGGCACTGCCTCATCAGTTGCATGAAGTTTCAACATCTTGTTGATGGATGAAACTGTAACAGTTATCTGGGCACCTCTTTGGAAATGAAATGCAAAACCAACTCTCAGCTGCTCGTGGTCTAGCTTGTAGCCGAGTGCATAAAACATGCGCAATGCATTCTTGCTTATTTTGCTTTCTATCATCGGTCTCACCAAGACTGAGATTTGTTCAGCACCAGTGCCTCTCATTGGACCACCAACATGTCGAACAGTCCTATATTTAATTTTACACAAAAATTTAGGCTTCACATATCGCCAGAGCTAGGCACAGTATGAAATAGATCACTTACCATGTGGGTTCCGGCTGCTCAAGATCACATAAGAGACGTATTTCTGATGCTACTAAGCCTGAGAATGAGCAGTAACGGACTTCATGGTTATAATAACCCAAGGAGAAAAGTGCGGGAGGGGGGAAAAGGAAAAATGTAAAATGGAGCTTTAGTGGCCCCTTTTGACAAGATATGACATGTCAAACAAGCACAAGTACATTATCGATAAACCATGATATCAAACAACCTTTTGTAAAAAACAGTGCAGTCAACAAGCTAATGAAGCCAAAACCATGAGTTCTTCAACTTACAAATAAGATGTACTGAAAGCAAAAAATACCTACCCATAATTCAATGCAATAATTTTCATATCGTGCCGCAATACAACTAGAATGAGATGGACCAACAACAACAACAACAACAACTACCCAGTAAAATCCCACATAGTGGGGTCTGGGGAGGGTAATGTGTACGCAGACCTTACCCCTGCCCCGATCGGGACAGAGAGGCTGTTTCCGATAGACCCTCGGCTCGATAAGACGAAAACAAAGTAAAAAAAAAAAAGGAGAGAATTCATTAGTAAATCCAGTAGAAATCGAAATAGTAACAGAAACATAAAAACAGAAAGATGAATGACATGCAATAAGAGTAACCATAATCTACGGCCCGGGTCTAAGACAAACAACAAGAAAGAATGAGATGGACCACAAACTAGAAAAAAGCAGCTATATCAAACAACTAAGTTAAGAAAACTTCTAATGGATGCATATATGGTTGCAAGCATTTGCCTCAATCGCATGTGTACATACATGACCACTGAATTAGTGGTTCCTAGTTCCATCGTAGTTTACAAAGAAAACTCACTTACCTAGGTTTGGGACACTCTTAAGGCACAGTTCATGGATCCTTAAGCTTTGTTTATGTACACCACAAAGCCCTTGAAGCAGAATTTCGAGGGCCTCAACATGCTGCAGATATGGTTTGCACCGTCAAAATCATTTTCAATATTCAAATGCTAAATTCCACATTCAACGCCATAAAGTTAGGAGGCACATTTTTGCAAGAAGCAAAATGTGCTCAGTGAACTTACTTGAGTCTCAATAATTCCCTGAACCACACACTCCATTCCCACTTCAATTTATTCTAATTCACATGCAAAAGAACCTTTTGTAACGCACCTGTGAGTCCAAAAATCAAAAGATTAAGTTGAACTAAAGAGCGAAAAGGAAAAAGTTAACACCTAACAAATTATAAAGGTGTCGTCTACACTCTTCATATGAAGTGCATTGCCTAAACATAGAAAGAGCAATTTCCTACCAAAGTCCAGAATTGAGGAAAGTGAAACCAAAATCCTGCACCTACAAACTACAAGTCTACAATATAGGACTAACTTCCTAATAGCAAAGACAGCATATCAATAATAGATTAAATTGTGCCCACCAAATGGCAAATGCTCTCAAAAACATGACTTTCCAGCTAAAAATACATTAAAATGACAAATGTTTAACAATAGCATTATCATTTAAAAAACAATATGACCTCCAAAAAAATTGAAGGAAAAAGAAAAAGCAAAATGAATCAGAAAGAAAACTGTAACAGAAAGAAAACAATTAGACGACTAGCAGCTTTCTTTCCGTGGAGCAAAGCCATGATTTGAATTTTATGGGTTTGAGCTCATTATTCTCCCACAACTCATTTGATTTACTAGGTAAGAAATCAAGTATTTGTACTTATTTAGGGAATTTTTTAACACATATACAGGTCTGAGCCAAAGCTAATGGGTTCGGATACACCCATAACTTACACCCATAACTTACACTCTACATCCGCCCAAAATTCACTCCCTTTATACCTTGGAAAAAGAAGAAAACTGCAAATTTACTGGGTACGAAATCAATTATTTGTACTTATTTAGTACTACATTTTTTAACACATATAGAGGTCTGAGCCAAAGCTACTTGGTTCGGATAAATCCATAACTTACCCTGTACAGCCTCCCCTATTTCCCCCATTACACCTTGAAAGAATAAAAAGAGAATGCAAATTTTATTGTAAAAATCACAAAGAAAGATGAAAAATTAAGAGTAAATTAGAGAAGAGGCTTTCTTTAAGCAATCGGAGGACACAAGGAATGCAAGCAACCCAATTCGCTATTCCTATTTATGATATAAGAAAAAAACAGTGGAAAAGGGGATCAGTGTTTTTGCATCATCACAATTGTGAGTTGTGACCCAATTCACCACTATTATTGTACCGTCAAAATTAAGTAGAAGAAAATAAAGGGGGTGGGAATACTAGGGTTTTACTCTCTTAAGAAACGAAGTAAAGAAAAAACTGGAGAGGTAAAGTCAGAGAGGAACGTACGAGGAGTTTGACGAAGAAGAAGACTGTTTAGCACTTGGCATTAGCGGCTTCCCAAGTGATTTGGGTTTCATAAGCCTGCAAAGTCTCAAAATGCATAGAGTTTAAGAAAAGTCAGGAATTTTTTCAAATCTTGTGCTCTTAGATTAAAAAGGGCAAAGGGTTAAATATATTCTTATATTATTTGTTATACTTTAGGTCCAAATATATTCATATTGTGATACTTTTGATTCAAGTATACCATTTTTCTATTAAGTTTGTCCAAGACTAACTAGTGATGTCAGGTGACACCGCTTGGTTGGAAATTTTTGTAAAATATGTATATATAATTAAAAGACAGAAGAAAAATACAGTTAAATAATTTCAAGTGACACCACTTGAAACAAGCAACTGTCTGGCTAAACTTGTCTGGCGCTCTACTTACTCAGAGCGTAGGTCTTGGGTTCGAAACTGGAGTGCTTCATTTGTTATTTCAAAATTTTGTGCCGCATTTACATTAAAACTAATTGGTGTCAGTAGAGTCGAACTACTGACCTCTTTGAAGCAAAGAGAACTTTTAGCCAGTCGATCAGCAATCGCTTTGGTACATTATTGTGACACTAAATTATTTGTTCTAGGGTTAGTTGTATGTACTACTTTTGCCAATAAAATTAATTAAGAACAACATACGAACTTTTGGTGATTATTAGGTACTTTATACAGAAAAATAATATTTAGTATTTTTCTAATGAGGTTTGAATACTTTTCTAATATATTTGGGTTGTGTTTTATTAATATGATTCGAATTATGTTCTTTTTTATATAATGTTGTTAATAGTGTTTTGTTTATTTGTACACTTTAAAAAAATGTGACACCGCTTACGAAAAATCCTACGTACGTCACTGCGTGACACTAATATTTGATGAGGTGAATACCACATGACAATGTCACCTCAACGCCACTAATCCATATAAAAGACTAAAATTTAAAATACAATATTTTTCATGGTAGCGATAATGGTGGAGAGGAAGGAAATTATAGTGGTGAAAAAAAATAGAAGGGAGGGGTGGGTTAGGGGCACTGAGGTGCCAAACCATATTGCATCCACCTCATCAAATGTCATTGTTCTGAGCACGTGATTTTTGTTCTACGCAACAATCACTCCAAAAGAAATAAAAATAATAGCAAATGGTCTTGCTGTACAATTTTTTGGATTTTTTACGTGGCATTTCGTTAGTTATTTGTAATTTTGTCCATTTTTTTAATTTTTTATCAAACAAAATACAAAAAATGTGTGTCATGTGTAGTTGAATCATAGTCCGGTTATTAAAAGGAAAATCACGAAATATGCATGTTTTGTCCTATTTGTCGCCTTGGTGATTTTACCTATTTTTTTATATCTTTGATATGTGTGTAATAATTGTATTAAGTGTTTAATTAATGGGGTTTAATTTTGTTTAATTAGGTTTTTGTTTTAAATTTAAAAATAAAAGAAAAAGAGTGCAAAATTGGCCTGAAATCAAGTTTGGGCATGTTTCCCATTTAAANTAAGTTTGGGCATGTTTCCCATTTAAAATCTGAGGCCCAAATCGAGCCCAAAACGTGTGTTTGGCCCGGTCCAGACCAGCTGACCTCAGGGGCGTCCAAACGACGTAGTTTTGATCTGGTCTGATCTGGGCCGTTGATCTCAGAATGATCAACGGCCAAGATCACATCCCCCGTACCCACGTATAGATCCGACCCGTTCAACGTTGGTCCAACCCAGCCCCGTGCACTTGAAACGACACCGTTTCCATTTAGTAGATAGATCACAACCATTGATCATCAGCAATCCAACGGCCAACATCCAATTAATCACCCCGTATATAAACCCTTCC